ATTCATAACAGTAGCAAAATTACAGTTATGAAGTAGCAACGGAAATAATTTTATGGTTGGGGGTCACCACAACATGAGGAACTGTATTAAAGGGTCGCGGCATTAGGAAGGTTGAGAACCAATGCTCTATATAATATTACTTGTTCTTATGGTGCAAACTCTAGCTTTAGCCTTAATTTTTCTTTGGGTTTCACAACGCATTTCCAGCGGCCTTCTGGGCTCTTCACACGGCTGCTTGAATGTCCTGCAGACTCTTCAGAAAAACACATGCTAATTGTGAGGCTTGACCAAGTCACTTGCCTATTTGGACATCTGGTGCTACATTTGTGAAATGACAGGCCTCGAGCAGTAGCTTTCAAATTTTCTAACAAAATGTTAAGTTAAACCAATAGATATATATAAATGCAGTAAAATCAGAATGACTCTGGGTATAGAGAAAATGAGACCTAGATCCTTTCCATTCACTTCATCCTTACCTACAACAGGTGCCTCTTCAGAAGCTGGGGCTCCAAGATCTCTAAAGGCCCTGTTCCTCGTTTTGTAATCCCAGTTTCAACTAAGAATTTAAATATTTATTTAATAAACCAAGTTTTAAAATCTCAGAATTTAACTCCTCCAGCTTTCTTATTGTCCACATTCAACTGATTAGCTATAAACCTTGCTGGTTTAACTCAGATTTATGCCCCCTTTTCCTTTTTTCTGCCACTACTCTAAGTCAGGGTTACTCTGTCTATTAAAATAACCTTCTAGTAGGTCTCCCTTCCTTCAGACCCCAACCCTCTCCTGATCCAATCCATTCTCCACCCTGTCTAGGGAAGGATATTTCAAATTATGCTTCTGGTTATGTAGGTACCTTGCTCAAAATCCTTCAGTGGCTTTCCACATCGTAAAACAAGTACATATTCCTTAAAATGGCATGCAAATTGAGTTCTAAACTACTCTGAATCTTCATCTCCTATTACTACTCACCTCCTGTAGCACTACTTTTTATTGAGGTGCACCAGGCTACCTGAGATTCTCTAAATACAAGCCATGCTTTTCTGATGGCAAGATTTTGTTCATGCTCACGTCACTCTGCCAAGAATTCCCATTGTGCCCTGTCTCCTCTTCATTAACTTTCAAAATTCTAATCAATCGTTAAAGTCCAACTTCTTTTTAAAACTTTCCCAATAGACCTAAGGAAGTAATTTTCTTTCCAATCTGTTGCAATATTATGATTCTGCCTCACAATCCTCTATTTTTTATAATTAGTTGTCATACTATATATTGTATATGCCAACTAATTGCTGGTATACATTAGATGTTATAATTAATTGGATCATCTGTTTATCTAGACCAGGATAATGTCTATTTTAAATCTTTGTGCACAGTGGTTGACCCACTCCATACATTCATTTTAGCTTGAACTGAAGTAAAAACAGAATTACACCATTTTCATGGTAAACCTACACTCCAAAGACAGCAGTGGTTCACACAATCATGGAAACATTCTAGAAATGTCAACAGAAGACTATAAACCTATGTAATATAAGAAAACAGGAAAAAAAGGCATTCCTGGTTTATTAAGTAGAAATAACATCTCACAGTTGTGACGTTCACATTTATTGCATTAAAAAGGAATACATTTTCTCTGAACATTACTTAAGAGTAATGAAAATGTGAGTAATTCAAAGCTTGTTAAAATTTTCAAATTCATAGAACATATATATCATCCTCTAATTTCTAATAGATTCCTAGAAGAACCTTATAATTGATTTTGACTCTATGTCAAAGGAAACATTAAGCAAGAACCACCTTCATCAAGCATCAGTTATTTTATTTTCCTTTCAGTGTTTGTTAATTTTAATGCATCAACTTAACTATCCAAGAGGTGCCAATAATGAGACATTATTCCTGGGTGTGTTGTAAGGCTGCTTGCAGATGAGATTAGCATTTGAATCAATGGACCGAGTAGACTGCCCTCAATGTGGGTGGGCATCATGCAATCTGGTGAGGGTCTGAATAGAATAGAGGGAGGAAGAAAGAGGAATTACTCCCCCTTTTCCTGCTTCACTTTTGAAGGGGACGTCTCCTATCTCTCTGGCCCCCAGCATGGGGTTTACACCATCACCTCCCTGGTTATCAGACCTCAGATGTGGACTCAATTACACCACAATTTCATGTGTCTCCGCTTTCAGAGAGCAGATTGTGGAACATTCCAGCCTCCATAATCATGTAAGCCAATTCCTCACTATCTGTCTGTCTGTCTATTTATCTATCCTACTGGTTCTGTTTTTCTGGAAAACCCTTACTCTATGCTTTTCTATAGTCATGTTATACCTCTTAACCTAATGCTGTCATAAGATCCCCTTGAGATTCTGCTGAAAATTATAAAATGCACCTATGAATGTTATACTAAATTAACCATACTGTTTCAATAAGCGCCCTAAAAATCCACCAAGATCCTGAGATGCATCCAAAGTCTTTTGCTGCATCCACTTGGTACAAATAAAAAAAACCATTTTGTTCCCACTGCTCTATTAAGCCGTGCTTATTTTTCTTCAAAAATTAATAGATATTGTAAAATCTAAGCAATAAGTACTGTCTTGAATATACATGAGTTAAACAAATAAAGTAAGTTGCATGAAAAATGTCATTAATCCCATCTGCTCCAAATTTCTAAAAAATTGAGCAGGAAAGTAATTTATTGTAGAAGAAATAAACAAAAACCTGAAAAATTACCTAATTTTAAAAAGCAAAAAATGAAATTACACATTCTAAAATATTACTATTCAAATAGTGAACTGACCTAGATCACTGACTCAATATCTAGACAGTCTTTGATTCTTATTAAGTAATACAATCTTTAAAGACTGAACAAAGTCATATTTATAATAAACTACCCTTCCAATATATTAAATTAGCCCAGTTATACCCTTTTAGAAACCACCAGACACACAAAAAGGATTGCAAAGTGAGAATATAAGATATAACACCCTTAAGTAACGAATAGCCTTGTTTTTTATAAAGCTAAGTTTCCAACAATCTCAATTTAATACAAAACTCTCTGCTTGTCTATAATAGTGTTAATGTTTTGCTACTCCATAGTTCCTAAAATATACTCAGTATGATTTAACTATGTTAAAATGTGTTCCTTAAATGTAATAAATAAAATGTTGCATTGTTTTTGTAAAATGAATTCTCTTTCCCTTTACTTTCTCTATATTATCAAACTTTCAGAGATGTGTTTCACCTCATAGTTGATAACTAAAAGGGCCCCAACGGCTCCAAGTAGGTATGGGTTTGACACTTTCTGCCAGCTCCTTGCCTAATAAAAAACTGAGAAGTGGCTCAAGAATGTCAAGAATCTCAGAGACCCATATAGGAGGGTATTTTTCTTCTTAAAATATAAATGTATTAATTGAATTAATTGAAGTTTATGAATGAACATATCTGTTAATTAGAGTTCTTTCTTATAATGCTAAAAGTATTGACAAAAAAATTCTGAGAGGTCCTACATTAAATTACAGTGGTTGGGAGTAAGAGAAAGAGAGAAGAATATTTAGCCCATTAACAGCTGTGGGCCTACTAAGAGACTGCTTACGTTCCTGACCGTATGCTGGAGCTTTGAATCAACGTCTGTGGCCACCACCAGAAGTCACAGCATCCTGCTTATGCCTGAACTTTCAGGACTGTTTCCCACAACCAATCAAAAGCAGTAAATATCACTTCCTTACTGACTGTGCGCCTATCCTAGAACTGCCCCACTCCACTTCCTCCCTCCCCTTTATCTGTAGCCAATGTAAGTTCTTTCAAGACAACTTTCACCCTTCTTCTTCAAAACATAAAACCATCTGTTAATTCCAGGACGGCAAATGTGTTTGTTTTTTCTACCTAGACATGCTGCTGCTAGCTTGGACTTCACACTGCAGGACCTAGTCCGTTTCTGGATAGCATTTGGCTCAGTAAACCTTTTCTTTCAGAGATTTTGGCCATCAAAGTTTTTTGTTTAACTCCATGTACCCAAAATATTCTGGCCTCTGGATAAACAAAATTCTTACTGCAGGATATCACTGATGTGTTACAGAAATATTACCTAGTACTCCATACTTATTCTAATAGTAAATTAAGTCATATAAACAGATAAGCTCTTAAAATAATTTCTAACACTAAAGCTACATAGTTTTTTCCCAGGAAAATTATGTTCTTAGTTGTAGCAGTTAACACTAATTTATCATAGAAGCAATGATACAAAAAGTAATAGGGGATAGAGAGGTAGATGAAAGGTGCCCTTTGCAATTCATCATTTCAGCTAATACCCCTGCACTCAAGTCTCTAAATTATTCGTAAAGAACTTATTTTCTTTTCAAAACAAAATAGAATTTTGACTAAGGGCAAAAGAGTAAGAGGTGCCGAGCACTAAAGATCAAATCAAATTTTGATATATGATTTTTTATGTTACCTATATATCTCCTTCTTATACCACTTAAGTTTAACCAGATGCTATAAATGAATGTCAAATAGCATCATTTCTCCCCCAATATAGGATGTAAAAGCCATTATCTTCCTGCATAACTTTCCAACACGTCCCCAAGTCCTTCATCCTTCGTACTGGCTCTTTCGGACGCACATGTGTGTTCTGCCTCTGTATCTCTGCTCTTGTTCTCACCTGGATAAACGTGCTCATTTTTCAAGGTCCAACTCATGTCCTACATTCTCTACATAGCTTTCTAAAAAACATATGAATTGACTGATTTCCCTTTTTTCTGCTTAATCGATAAGCCCATAAAAATGTAAATTATTTGAAAGACAAAAGATCCTTTAAACATGCTAAGGGGTAAGGCACATTTTCCGAGTATATACTATGAAACTGGAGGCACTGTGTCATTCAGTGGGCACAACAA